ATTCTGCACTGTTGCATAATTGATTGAAGAGGAGTATTGTAGATTTGGCAGAATGACCCTGGGGCTGAAACGGTTAAATTATGAAAATAGGTTTATATTCCCTAGCATTTAGAAGTTTATGGGGTGATAAACGTGAGATGTTTAAAGTGATTTAAAGACATGATAGCATTGAATGAGAGAAATTGTTTCCTTTAAAGGCAAGAAACTTAAAATCCTAGCCAGACCATTCAGGGGTGTTGTCAGGAAGCACTTCCTCACAAAGTGGAAATCTGGAATTCTCTCCTAAAAGGCAGTTGAAGCTATTGGGGTTGTAATTGAAAATATCAAAACTGTGTAATAGATTGGTCAGCAAAATGGATTAAAGACATTAAGGTGGGTAAATGGACTTTAGATTAAGATAAAGATCTGATACGGCCTAATTGAATGGAAGAACAAACCTCCTCCAGTTCTTGTGTATCAGGATGTTGTTGTGTTTGTGATAGACCGGAACAGAACTCAACCACATCAAGATGGGGGCTGAGGTATCGTGCAGGGGAAGAACACACAGGCTGAAATCTGCCCTTTTGTCAATCAACAGCAATTATCAGTGGACAGTCAAATCGCCAACAGGGGCTAGGAAAGGGGTGAGGGTGTAAGGGGGGTTGGGTGGTATGGCTAGTTTTAGGAAACATCTCCGTCCAGGAAGCACTGCAATATTTGCAGATTAATTGACTGAAGGTCACAGGCCTCTCCCACTGAGAACATTAACCCATTGATGCCTTGCTCAATTTTACTAAACATTTAATGTTCATCTCACACTGACTGTCACTGGAGTACAGCTCCCAGACACACACTGACTCTCACTGGGACAGGGTCCCACACACACACTGACTCTCACTGGGACAGGGTCCCACACACACTGACACTCACTGGGGTACAGCTCAAAGACACACACTGACTCTCACTGGGACGGAGTCCCACATACACTGACTCTCGCTGGCGTATGGGTCCCACACACTAACTCTCACTGGGGTACGGGTCCCACACACACTGACTCTCACTGGGGTACGGGTCCCACACACACACACACACTGACTCTCACTGGAGTATGGGTCCCACACGCACTGATCTCACTGAGACAGGGCCCAATACACACTGACTCTCATTGGGGTAGAAGTTATATTTCAGTGATACAAAGTTTGGTTAGGCTGCTTCTGGAGTCACTGTGAGCAGCTCTGGGTACCACGTTAGGAAGGAGAGATTGACCTTGGAGTGAGTGCAGTGTTGTATTTTCCAGAATAATACTTTGACCACAAGACCGTAAGACCTAGGAACAGAAGTAGACCATTGGGCCCAATGGTTCTGCTCTGCCACTCAATGAGATCATGGCTGATCTGACAATCCTCAACTCCATTTTAAGAAATAGGAACAAGAACAGCTAGCTCTGTTATTCAATAGGATCATAGCTGATCCAACGTTCCTCACATACTCTTCCCAATATTTTCCCCATAACCTTTGATTCCCCAAGAATCTATCTAGGAGCAAATTACGGCAGATGCTGGAATCTGTACTGAAAACAAAAATGCTGGAGATCACAGAAGGTCAGGCAGCATCCATGGAGAGAGAGCAAGCTAATATTTTGAGTCTAGATGACTCTTCATCAGAGCTGACGTGAGTATGGAGGGGGCAGCATTTATGCAATGGTGGCGGAAGGGGGTGCAGTCCTCAGCATGCTGCAGTGCTCCAGTGAATCACAGTGCAAACTGGAGGAACAACATCTCATTTTCAGACTAGGCACTTTTACAACCTTCTGAACATAATATTGGGTTCAACACCTTCAGATTGTGAACCCAGTCCCATTCCTTCCCTTTCTTTTAGCTTTACTTGTTACATTCTCTGTCACCATGTCCTCTCTCACCTCCCTCTCCCCAGTCCAGTGGGACTGTCTGTTCTTTCCAATCTGGCAGTTAGACACACCATTGTTCCATTCTCACATTCCGATCACTTCATCCGCGCTATCAACACCCTTTCTCTCCTGAGCACTCCACACTGCTACCCCCCCACCCCCCAACCATTGCATAAATGCTGCTCCCTCTACACTTCACGTCAGCTCTGATGGAGAACGTGTCTATCTCAGCCTTAAATATACCAACGACTCTGCCCCCACAGCTCTCTGTGGTTCCCAAGACTCACAACCCACTGAGAAGAAATTCCTCCTCATCTCAGTCTTAAATTGGCGACCCTTTATTCTGAAACTATGCCCTCTGATCTTAGACTCTTGCATAAGGGAAAACATTTGCTCAGCATTTACCTTGTCAATACCCTTAAGAGTCCTAAATATTTTAATGAGATCACCTCTCTTTCTTCTAAACTCCAGTTAGCAGATTCCCAACCTCAAAGAATCCCCACAGCATGGGACCAGGCCCTTCAGCCCAACAAATCCACACTGGCCCTCACAGCAACCCACCTAATCTACACATCTCTGACACTATGGCCAACCCACCTCGACTGCACATTTTTGGACTGTGGGAGAAAACCAGAGCACCCAGAGGAAACCCACACAGACACAGGGAAGAATGTGCAAACTCCACACAGCCACCCAAGTGTGGGATTGAACCCAGGTCCCTGGTGCTGTGAGGTAGCAGTGCTAACCATTGAGCCACCACACCAATCTGTTCAGCCTTTGCTCATAAGGCAATTTTCCAGACCAGGGATTATCCTAGTGAACCTTCTCTGAAATGCCTCCAATTAAATTATATCTTTCTTCAAAGAAGCGGACTTAAAACTGCTCTTAGTACTCCAGATGTGGTCTCACCCGCACCTTGTACAGTTGCAGTAAGACTTCCCTACTCTTATACTCCAACCCCCTTGAAATAAGGACCAACATTCCGTTAGCCTTCCTGATTACCTGCTGTACCTGAGTGCTAACTTTTTGTGTTTCATGCACAAGTTCCCCGTGAGGTGCTTGTGTGTTGTAGCCTTCTGCAGTTTTTCTCCATTTAAGTAATATTTTGTTCTTTTGCTCCCCCCTTCCACTTATACTCCATTTGCCAACTTTTTGCCCACTTACTTAACCTATGAATATCTCTCTGTAATCTATTTGTATCCCTCTTGCAACTTGCATTTTCCATCTGTTTTTGTTTTGTCTGCAAATTTGGCTACAGTACATTCGCTTCCTTCCTCCAAGCCGTTCATTTTTATTGTAAACAGCCTTGTCCTCATAAGGGATAGTAAGAACTGCTGATGCTGGAGTCAGAGATAACACAGTGTGGAGAGATTTCTGAAGAAGGGTCCCAACCCGAAACGTCTGCTTTTCTGTTCCTCTGATGCTGCCTGGCTTGCTGTGTTCCTCCAGCTGCACACTGTGTTATCTCTAATCCTCATAACCCTTGATTCCCTCAATGATTTGAAATCTGAAGGTTAAATTGCAAAGTGAGGTTATAGTATCTGGGGTTTAATCCCCAGAATGCTATGAGAACAGATAGAGTCAATAGAGCGAGGCGATTTCTGCTGGTCTCAGAGTCTAGGATCATGAGGCAGAGTCTACAAATCACAGCCATATATTTCAGGAGTGCAACTTGGAAACAATTTTACACACAGGGGTGGGAGCAGTTTGAAACCCTGTGCCCAAAATCCAAAGTGCTGTTAGAACAATTGGTTATTTTTCAGTCTGAGGTTGATGGATCCTTATTTACAAAAGATACTCCGGGATAGGGGACAAAGCTGAGTTTCAGAGGTAGTCACAGACCAGCAATGATCTCACCATTTGGAATGGTTACAATGCAGAATAATGACATTCTGCCCATTTGACTCATCTGCAACAGCACATTTTATATTTTTTAATGGCTATAGGCAAGCATTTGCTCTCCGTCGTTAATTTCCCTCGAACTGATTGGCTTGCTCAGCCATTTCAAAGGATAGTTAAGAATCACAAGCAAATATAGAGAATGTTGGAGAAACTCAGCAGGTCTGGCAGCATCTCTGGAGAGAAACAGAGTTTCCAGTCTGGTATGATACTACTTCAGGAGCACTTGCTTGGCACCTCTTCCACAAACATTCACCACTTCCATCACCATGATTCAGTATCATCACAGTGTACCATCCTCAAGATGTACTGCAGAAATTCCCTGAAGCTCCTTAGATACCACATTTCAAATTCATGACCATCTAGAAGGACATGGGCAGCATATACTTGGGAACACCACTATCTGCAAGCTCCCGTCCAAGCCACCCACCATCCTTACATGGAAATATATCACCGTTCCTTTAGTGTCACTGGGTCAAAATCTTGGAGCTCCCTCGCCAACAGCATTTTGGGTCTACAGCGTTGGAAAGAAACAGCTCATTACTGCCTTCTCAAGGGGCAACTAGCGTTTGGCAATACTGGCCCAGCCAATGATGCTCAGATCCCATAAGTGACACACTGCCGAAGGTCATATGCTAACTGGACAGTCAAGGACTGAAATATCTTGCTGGTGCAGTGCAGAGGTGACAAGATCTGTGGACAGTCGATTGTATCAAGGGGAAAACAAGGATGAGAATTTTAAGATCAAGACATTGCCAGATGGGGAGCTAGTGTTGGTCAGCAAGCATTGGGAGTGATAGTGGAGTAGGACTTGCTGCAAGTTTATGATGGATTGTAATTTGGGTTTGGTCAATTTGGGGGATCTTGAAGTTTACAGGGAGAGAGAGAGCGCAGCCAATGAGTGGTGTGGTTGGAGTTGTGGACTCTTGAAGTAAGAAAGGCATAAGTGAGGGGTTTAGCAGCCAAAGATCTGGGGCAGGGGACTGTAAAGAAGGTAATAAAGTTATTCTGGATGTGAAACTCCTTAATGATGGACAGGAAACTGGGCAGATCTAAATCAAGGTTATGGGGAGGGAATTATTCTCCCTGGGTCCTCACTCTGACCATCAAATCAACTGCCAACCACCCCGGGGGATGGCAGCTGTATGAGTCTCCCAGAGGTTACAGCTCAAACATACAGTATCTGCCTCTCTCTCTCTGGTTTTTGGCGATCAAGTCAGAAGCTGCAGGAAATGAGTAAAGTGGGGGGTGGGGTTGAGACTGAGAAGCTGCTTTGAGCGGAGAAAGGGGAAGGAACTGAGCCTGCAGCAAACCTGACAGCATTGACCGGCCACTGGGTCACTCTCTGTCCCCTTCCCCAGTCCCTCGCTCTCCAGTCCCGGGGGCTCAGCTACAGCCTGGAGGTGAGTGACTCTGGGTCGGGTTCTGGCTGGAAGCTTTACCCACTGACTCGCTTTGTGTCCTGGCTCCTGTCTCTCTGTCTCTCCCGGGCTGGCAGGCAGGATAGTTTGAGACTCGGTGGCAATGATGTGAGTTTAATACTAGCTCAGACTCCCTGTCGGTCCATTAGACAAGAGTCTCGGTGTAGAGGGAGAGTTTAAGACAGTCCGCACTCAGAAAGGGGTTGGTTTTTATGGTGGTGCTGGGTTGTGCTTTGTTTAAAGGGGAAGTTTTTAAAATGCAGAATTTAAAGGACAGGTCCTAGTGAGAAAGAATTTACCAGGAGTCAAAACTTGTTTAGATCGCGTTTCACGTGTGAGTGAGACAGTGTGGGTGCGACTGAGTGTATGAGGAAGACTGTGTGTAAGAGAGTGAGAGTGAGGGAGAATGTATGTGTGTGTGTAGACAGTCAGTATGTGCGTGTAATGGCGTCTGCGACACACCAGTTTGCATTTATATAGCAACCTGGGATATTAACACAGTGGTTGCCTGTGTAACTTCTGCAGATTTTTAAAGATCCAGTTTTGCTCCCTATCGCATCTTTCCCACAATCTAGAAGATGGAAATTCCTCATCATCCAATTTTGCATGTTCTGGAGTTACTGTAATCTCATTAACCTCATCCTACACACCAACTCTCACTTGGGAGAGATGAATATCAAATAGGAACTTAAAAATCGTGTATATTTATTGTGCAATTCAACAAAACATATTCCTCAATACTACTCATTTTCTCCCCATATCCCTTAATCCTTACCCTCTCCAGAAACATCTATGTTTCTCCCTGCTTATGGCCTTCTCTGGAGTTTAATGAACAATTTGATTTCTCTTTTGATGATGAAGTCCCCTGGAAATCCTACTTAGTCTGAGCTTCTTCATTTTTCTCATGAACAATAACTTGCATTTACATGGCACCTGTCCTACAGTAAAACATGCCAAGGAAGTTCAACGGGAGCACGATCAGGCAGAATCAGGTGGAGGAGATGATCTGAGAACCTTCCTGTGAGGTAAAATGCTGGGGCTGAGCCACAACTAACACACAAACTACTTCCCCTTGGTGTTGGTAAAGACACAGCAAATAGAGTTTTGGATGACCTCAACTTTACAAAGGTAGAATGTTGGATGGTTGGAATTGTCAAGCCTGGAGGTAACAAAGATGTGAACGAAGTTTTCAGCGGTCGATGAGTGAGATGGGGTGGAATCAGTGATTCTCTAAGGTGGAAATAGGGTGATTTTAATGATGAAAAGGACATGGATTTGGGAGTTCAGTTCAAGGCAAGATGGTGAACAGTTTGGTTCAGTCCTATGTGGGCTCTTACTGACAATGTTGTGCATATTCCTACACTAGTATCTTTATCTTCTTTTGTTTGTCTCACTTTCTATTTCTTTCTCTGTGGACTGACTGTTTCAGTTCTTCCCAGTCACAGCTCCTCAGAGTCATGTCAACTTCCAATCGAGTGAGTTCAAGTCTGTGTTGCATTTCCACTTTTCCAATTTGGCCTGTTCCATTTGATGCCCTTTGTTATGTTTTTCTGCCTCTTTCCCCACTTTCTGCCCTCAATTTCTCCTTCACTAGTTCTGAAATGACTGGCTCACTTCAGCGTGTTGACTGTCATGGAGCTTCAGAGACTGGAACAGTAAGGGATTCTCACAGCCTGCCCTTGCTCTCTCAGCTTGATGACAGTCATATTGGTTTATCAGGGTTTTGTTTCTTTGGGGCCTTCAGCAGTTCAGCTGGGAGACAGAGACGCGTTTCCCCTTGTGAAAGGAATTGTCCTTTCTGTATTTGCTGTGAACGCAGATCCTGGGGTGGAAAGTGTGTGTCTGCCCCACTGCCCACACAGATCTCCTCCAGCATTGTGCTCTTGTATCTAAGATGTGAGGTCTTGTGATGCAGTGGGTAGTGTCCATGCCTTTGAGCCAGAATGTCTGGGTTTGGGTCCCACTCTACGATTTGATAGTCGAGGAAGGTGTGTTCATAACATGGTCAAGAATATTGACTACTGCTTTTTTCAATCTGCCTAATTGCAGACATCAAGAGTTGGAGAGTTACCATCGAGATGAAGGCAATGGTAAATCATTTTATCAAACATAAACATGGGCCAACATATACCAAAATGGAGCCTTTGATCACTAAGGCGCTACTAGGGCATGTTACATGGAGAGATCTAAAGCACTGACGTGTGTAATGATGCCTCTGGGAGCGTTCTGTCGCTGTGATCAAGTCAACAGTGACTGTCCTTTCTGTAGTGCAGAGAAACAATTATCCTGGCATTCTATGCATTCTCTGTAGGGCTGTTCACAGATGGGAAGAGAGTAATAGTTAGACGGAATACCTTCTCATTTACCTTCTGCTATTACAGGAGACACTGATAATGAAGTTATTCACCAGTTGCAATGATCAATCTCTTGCCACGAGTCAGACCCAGACACGAGGTGAGGAAAACCCCTAGTGTGAGAAAGCTTTAGGAACTTTTTATTCACACATAAGCTGTGGGTGTCGCTTGCTGGGCCAGTGTTTATTGCTCATCCCTAATTGCCCTTGAGAAGGTGGTGCTGAGCTGCTTTCACAAACCACTGCAGTCCCCAAAATGTGCTTCGGAAGGGAGTTCTAGGATTTTGACCTAGTGACACTGAAGGAGCAGCAATTTATTTCCATGTCAGGATGGTAGGTGGCTTGAAGTGTTGGTGTTCCCATGTGTCTTCTCACCTTACCCTTCTAGATGGTAGAGATTGCAAGTTTGGAAAGTGCAGTCGAACCTGAGAGAGTTGCTGTGTTGCATCTTGTAGACGGCATAGAATGCTGCTGTGGTTATTGAAGGGAATAAAGTTGAAGGTGTTATATTTGTGGGAGGGTGGGGGGAGGGGTGCGGGGGGCAGCCAAGAAGCTGCTTTGTCCTGGATGGTTTTGAGCTTCTTGAATGTTGTTGAACCTGCACTTACCCACTCAAGTGGGCAGTATTCCTTCTCACATCTGACCTGTGCATTGTTGATGGTGGACTGGTTTTGGGGAATCAGGAGGCAAGTTACTCTCTGTAAAATTCCCAGCCTCTGAACTGTGCTTGTAACCATTGTACTTATGTGGCTAATTCAGTTCAACTCCGAACCAATCGATTTTGTTAAGCTTTTAGTCACCAATCAAAACAGTTTTTACACAACTTGGCATCAAACAGTGTTTGGAGCTCTTCCTGTGAGGTATCTCCAGATCTATTATCACCATCAATGTTAAGTATAGTAGCAGAGTGACTTCACAGTAAACCACATTGCAACTCAAGGTGTTGATTTCAAGGAGAGAGATGACAGACACATGATCAGACCTAAGTTGGGAATGTTGTGGAGATGAAATACTCTTCCAGACCAAAGACCCCATCCTGGTCAAAAAGCCCTCCCCTCTTTGTGACCCCCAGCCAGCTCTGAGAGTAACTTCATCACCGGAGGCATCAGTTCAGTCACATGTTTTGTAGTGACCTCTGGACAAGAAAAAAGAAAACTTCCTTTCAAAGAACGCCTGCCACTGAGATCAGAGCAAAACCACCAGAAATGAATTGAAAAACCCAGTGTTATTATTAGCAGCAGCCGAAAATAAAATGCTGCTACTTTAATTAATCCAGTTCCAAAGTGTACCTCCTGATTGTGACACTGTCGGAGGGTTGTTATTGAGGGAGCACTGCACTGTCAAAAGGGTCAGTACTGGTGGAGCGCTGCATTGTCATGCCTGTATTCGCCTGCTGTGACTCCTATGCTATGACAGTGACTGTACTTCCAGAAAAGTTTGACAATTGGATGTTATGAAATGCACTTTATCAACATGTTACATAGAGTTAGATTCATCCTGTTGGCAGGATTGTAGAAGGTGAAATAGATGGATAATCACTTTCTTTGCACTCCTAGTTGCTACGTTTCATGACTTTTACCTGGAGAACTGTTAGTGGAACACCGTGTCTGAGCTTTAGGGTCTGCTTCATCATCCTGAGCACTGTCAAAAATTCTATTTCATTGAAACTAATTCTCAATGGTCGAATGCAGTTAGGAGAATTTCTTGTGCTTTTATTTATATAAATGAAGAGACGTCACAGAATTCTGAGCTTTAGAGAGACTTGGATATTCTGGTATATAATTTACTGTTGGATATTATGCGGGTACAGCGAGTGATTAAGAAAATACATGGAATGTTATTGTTTATTGTTAAGGGGAATGGAATATAAAAGTAGGAATGTTTTGCTACAGCTTTATGTAAAGGTAAAGTTGCCAGAGTTGCCATGGTGTTAGGAGCAAGATATTGGTATAGATGGAGAATTGGTTTATTGGCAGAAGGCAGAGAGTGGGGATAAAAGGGTCGTTTTCAGGATGGCAGTCAGTGACTACTGAAGTTCTGCAGGGGTCCATGTTGGGACCACTATAATTTACGTTTTACATTAATGATTTGGATGAAGGAACTGAGGGCATTGTTGCTATGTTTGTAGATAAGACAAAGATAGGTGAAGGGACAGGTGATGTTGAAGTAGTGAGGCTGCAGACAGGCTAGGAGAGTGGGGAAGTGTGAGGTTACGCACTTTGGTAGGAGGAATAGAGGCATAGACGACTTCCTAAACTGGGAAAGGCTTCAAAAATCTGAAGCACAAAGGAACTTGGGAGCCCTAGTTCAGGATTCTCTTAAAGTTAACATTTAGGTTCAGTTGGCAATTAAGAAGGCAAAGGCAACATTAGCATTCATTTCAGGAGGGCGAGAATACAAGAGCAGAGATGTATTGCTGAGGCTGTATAAGGCTCTTGTCAGATGACATTTAGAATATTGTGAGTGGTTTTGGGCCCATATCTAAGTAAGAATGTGCTGATGTTGGACGGGATCCAGCAGAGGTTGACAGGAATGAACCAGGGGACAAAGGGCTGGTTATATAAGGAGTGGTTGAGGATTCGGAGTCTGTATTTGATGGATTAGACAGATGGAGGAGGATCTGATTGAAACTTACAGAATACTGAGAGGCCTGGATACAGTGGACATGGAGAAGATGGTTCCAGTAGTAGGAGAGACTAGGACCCAAGCCTCAAAGTGAAGGCATGATCCTTTGGAACTGAGATAAGGAGGAATTTCTTCAGCTAGGGGCTGGTTAATTTGTGGAACTCATTGGCACAGAGGACTGTGGAGGTCAAGTCATTGAGTGTATTTAAGACAGAGATAGATACGTTCTAGATTAGTTAGGGAATCAAGGCTTATGGGGGGAAGGCAGGAGAATAAGAGACGATCTAACCACCGCCCCTTGACATTCAATGGTGTTACCATCACTGAATCCCTCACTATCAACATCCTGGGGGTTACCATTGACCAGAAACTCAACTGGACTCACTACATTAACAGAGCGGCTAAAAGAGCAGGCCAGAGTTGGGAATACTGCGGCGAGTAACTCATCTCCTGACTCCTCAAAGCCTGTCCACCATCCACAATACACAAGTCAGGAGTGTGATGGAATATTCTCCACTTGCCTGGATGAGTGCAGTCCCAACAACACTGAAGAAGCTTGACACTATCCAGGACAAAGCAACCCACTTGATTGGCACTACATCCACAAGCATTCACTCCCTCCACCACCGACGCTCAGTGGCAGCAGTGTGTACTATCTACAAGATGCACTGCAGAAATTCACCAAAGATCCTCAGACAGCACCTTCCAAACCCACAACCACTTCTGTCTAGAAGGACAAGGGCAGCAGATATATAGGAACACCACCACCTCCAAGTTCCTTTCCGAGTCACTTACCATCCTGACTTGGAAATATCTCGCCATTCCTTCACTGTCGCTGGGTCAAAATCCTGGAATTCCCTCCCTAATAGCATTGTGGGTCAACCCACAGCAGGAAGACTGCTGCAGTTCAAGAAGGAAGCTCCCCACCACCTTCTCAAGGGCAACTAAGGATGGGCAAGAAGTGCTGGCCAGCCAGCAATGCCCACATCCCACGAAATGAATAGAAAAAAAAAGAAAAGAAACATATCAGCTATAATACAATGGTGGAGCAGACCCGATGGGCTGAATGGCCTAATTCTGCTCCTCTTTCTTATGGCCCTTCTAGACCTTCGCGCTGCTCTCTCATTTCAGAGAGAGAGAGAGAGAGAGAAAATTGATGTGGTTTGACTTGAGGGTCACCATGCCTGAGGTTAGGGGAGAGGTTGAGAAGGAGAGTCCTTCATGGTAATCTCAGCCAGTTGTGGACATTGTATCCATGCTGTTGGCATCACTCTGCATTGCAAACTAGCCATTTAGCCAACTGAGCTAATACAGGGCATTGGTGAGATATCTGGAGTATTGTGTACAGTTTTGGTGACCTTAATTAAGAAGGGATGACAGTTCACAGAAGAACTGTGAGAGGTAGGGTTCTTTTATCAGGAAATGTCGGACATGTTGGGCCTTTTGTATTTGGAACTTAGAAGTATGAGAGTTGATCTTATTGTATCATTTAACACTGTGAGGGGATCTGGCCGGGTTGATGCTAGGAGGTTGTATCTTCCTGTGGGAGAGACTACAACTAGGGGGACACAGTTTAAAAATAAGTGGTCTCCCTTTTAGAGAGTGATGAGGAAGAATTTTGTTTCCCTCAGAACATTGAGAGTCAGAGAGTGGTGGAGGCAGGATCATTGAACATCTTTATGGCAAAGGGTGATAAATTCTTGACTAATTCTTGAGGGAGTCAAAGGTTATCGGGGGCAGGTGGGAATGTGGAATTGAGGCCACAATCACATCATTTATGATCTTATTGAATGGCTGAGCAGGTTATAGGGACTGAATGGCCTACTCCTGCTACTGATTCATACATGTACATTTGGAATCAGAGCAGAGAGGGTCTAAACGTTCCCCTTGGCTCAATGGGTTTGCTGCAGGTACTGTGGGATGTCAAAATAATCTGTCGCCTGCTATCTCACTAACATCTCTCTCCCTCTCCCTAGTCATCCTAATGCTCAATGGAAGTTTCCTCCATCAATCATCAGCCCCACATCCATTCCCCCTGTGATCACCCATTGAATCCACCTTCCCTCCTCCCTGTGTCCTCAGTCTGCTAGAGCAACACATTGTTGCCCTCAGCATTCAAATTCATTACCCATGGAATTGAAAATGGTTGATGGGAAAACAATTTAGGGCTATGGCATGAGGGCAGGGGAGTGGAGGTGAGGATGATGTGGTATAAATTAGACAGTTTTTTTTTCAAAGAGATACCGCAGACACAACGGGCTGAATGGTCTTCCTCAGTGCAATAATATTCCAGAATGCACAGGTATTGTAAATAAATGCATGGTCTCTTTTTGGTCCTGTGTCTTTCCGTGTATCTGGTCCAGAGTTTTTCCCTGTGTGTAGTTCTGTGTTTGATCTTGTATTTGGTCCTGTGTCTGTTCTGTGCTTGGTCCTGTGTTTGCCCCTCTGTTTAGTCCCTTGTTTAGTCCTCTATTTAGGATGTTCCTTTTCCGTGTTTCCATGCCTCTTGCTTTTCCCAGTGGATTCTCATGGTGATCTTTCTTTTGTCCCCAATGCAGTGTTGGGTGGCCATGCCGGTTGGGATCTTAGCCGTGTGCCTGGTCATGGTGGTCACTGTGATCAATCAGCCGTTCACCTTCCAGGAGGCCAGGTGGAACGGAGAGCAGCAGCAGGAGCTGGAGACCCTGAGGCGGATGAAGGAGCGGGAGGAACATCTTCAAGCTGAAATGTGGAGGCTGGAGAGGGAATTGGCAGAGTCGTCTCCCGGGGAATTGGGATTGGAGTCTAGCGGGGAGCCGGGGAAGGGGCAGGAGTACAGCTGGAACCTGTGGAGTGCTCTGTCCGTGGCTGCGTTCCTTTTGTTGGAGATCTGGAGACAGGACACGGAACCGCGGTGTCTGCAGGAGGTGACGGACGAGGACGAAGACTCTGGTGCCATCGGGGAGTCGTGGTGGTGCGCAGCCCTCCCAGACCATTGGGCGCTGGTCCGCTTCTACGATAAGTGTGTCCGTGTGCCAGGTGCTGAGTTGTCCAGGATCAAGGAGCTGGTGGAAGGGTGCGCGGACGATTTGCTGGAGTCCCTGAGAAGTGTGTGTAACCGGGATCTGGACATGGAAGTGAAGGAGTGCATTGGCATCGGGAGCTTATATGAGAACTGGAGGGTCAGGAGGCCCTTGGTGTGTGACTTGATTGTACCCTTCACTCCCCCAGAACCTTACCAATTCCGAGCAGAAGTGACATGCCCTGGGGGAGGGCTGGGGATAGCTTCAGGGGGAGGGGTCCCTGGGGAGCTTGGCACTGGGATGGTCCGTGTAATTAATCCTGAAGAGGACTCAACCGGCTGTGTCTGCGGCCGGACCCAGCTGGTGGAGGACATGCTGTGTCTGGTGCATAGTGAGAACGCTCTGGAGACCAGACTGGCAGGCTCTGAACAAAAAGACCAGCTGCTGTGGTCTGCCACTGCTCCCTATTTGGGCAAGACTCAGGTCACCCAATGGTTCCAGAGGGCCCTGACCAAAGCCTGGGCTAAGATCTCACACAAGTACGACTTTGAGCTTTCCTTCCGAGATCTGGAGAGGCCAGGAGCACTGAGGATAAGATTTCGCTCAGGGAAAACTGTGCATTTCAGCCTGCTCCCTGTGGTGGAATTTGAAAACTCTGATGTTTACTTTATGCCTCTGCTGGGCAGTGACGTGCCCCTTCTTGGCACTGCCCATTCCAATGACACAGCCTGGCCCTTTACGTTTGCTGTCTACGAGAAACGTTTTCTCAAGATGATGGCGAAGAAGCTTCCAGAAAGTTCTTGCCACCTGATGTGTCTGCAAATCGTCTCGTTTCTCCATGAGAAACAGTGTAATTTGACTGGGGCCAGTGGTCTCAGCCAGTACCACTTCAAGACTGCACTCCTGCACCTGATGATCAGCCAAGCCCCAGGAGCATGGCACCGCTCCTGCCTCCAGCCTCGGCTCAGGGACCTGTTACGGTACTTGGACAAGGCACTGCTGGAGAAACGCCTGAACCATTTCATTATCGGTAACACAGCCGTCCTCCCTGACTTTGACATCCCAGACAACTTCCGCTCTGCCGAGCCCCTCAACCTGTTCCGTGGGTTTGTCACGCACCGTGCCTGCTTTCGGAAGGCGCGCTGGACCTGGACCGAGATGCTGAGGAACACGGCGGTCCTGGTTCAGGAATACGGTCTGGAAGATCCCAGCCAGAACGGAATCAGAGAAGACACAGCACAGCAGCAGAGCCCAGCTAACCCGAGAGATCGGGAAGAGGGGAGATCACTCTCCTAGGCAACAAAAGGGGCAGCTTCAGGCCAAATTGAGCAGGGAAGGCAAATGCAGGAGGGACTGATCATCCTTCACCTCAGGGAGGATGGGGATAGAATGCAGACCACTCCTGAGAAAGAATGAGAGAGACAGACAGACATACCTTTTACTGAGGGGGAAGGATTCTTGAGTGAAGAGACTGTGAGACTGGCTCCTGTAATTTTATTTAATCAGCTTGTTCGGCCCTGTTATAATACACCTCCAGGACAAGAGGGGATGTGAACCCTGATCTTCTGGCCTCTGGGTCGGGACAATCCATCCGCGCTTTCAGAGCCTAAACACCTCCATGCTGAACTGGCACAGCTGGCAAACTCACTAATGCTGGCAGCTCAGAACCAGTTGCCTGCAGCCACTGTTGGATTTGTTAGAGTCTATTTTGTTTTAAATATTTGTTGCTTAACAGATAAGAATAAATATCATTGCTGAGCAGCTTCAATTTATAAAACTAGTTGCACATTAAAACAAAGACTGACTGGATCAAAGTCGGAGCAGCCTTACAAATACGGATCCCATCACTCATTCTGTTGATGTCCTGACCTGTCAACCAATCAGACATTCAGGCACTGATTTAGATTGCGAAATCAGTGCCGCACTGTCGGAGGGTCGGTGCAGAGGGAGTGCCGCACTGTC